CGGACTCAACAGAAGAGAAAAATTTAAAATTTTCAAAGAAGACAACAGTGGCCGCAATGCGCACACGTTGGAGACTCGGATCGTAACAAATGTACCCTTTGTGTACATCGCTGTACCCAAGGAATGCACATCTAGCTGTCTTCTGGGTCAACTTAGTGCGTTCCTTCCGTGGCATGAGTACAAAACACAAACACCTAAAGACCCGGAGACGAGAATAGTCAGGATGACGGGAATGCAAAGCAAAAAATGGGCTAACATTCTGAAGGACATGAGTGAGTTGATAATTTATAAGACAAACAGCGGTAGCCACAGCTTCAGGCCAGAAACGAGAAGGAACCTTTGACTCAATGAGGAGGGCACGAGTTAGGTCAAGCACATGTCTGTTCTTACGCTCAACTAACACATTATGTTGAGACTCACCTGGGCAAGATTTTTGACACAAAGTTCCAAGAGATCGATACAAAGCCATCAACGGATTCGAACTGAACTCTCCTCCAGGATCAGACCTAAGAATTTTAACGGGTTTATTAAACTGAGTTTGCACCATTTTCAAAAACTCCTCTTCTAGGGCCTTAAGATCCGATTTTAGGCGCAGAAAATAAACCCATGTGAATCTAGTGGCATGATCAATAAATAGTGCAAAGTATCGAAATCAATGTCGAGAAAGAACAGACGATGGACCCCAGAATTCAGAGTGCACGATATGAAATGGTTCAGAAATCACCGTTGAACTAGAAGGAAACGAGATACTGATAGTTTTAGCCTCAACGCAACTGGTGCAATTATGTTTAGATGACGAGAAAACACTGTGCTTGCCTAACAAAGATTGACGAAACATTTGCAACAACCGACTAGAGTTGGGGTGACCCAAACGCGAATGCCATAAATCCCAAACGTTATTAGACTCACTAGGAACACTTGAAAAACTAGACACCAACGGACTACTGACAAGCCTACTGGTTTCGGAGACAGGAGAGGACGATGATGATGATGATGTACTGATGAGTTCTTCTAACTGAAATAAATGCCCCCGCTTACTCCCTCTGCCGATTTGCCTCCCCGTCTTCAGGTCCTACACAACACAGCCAGACGGTGCGAACGTAACCGAACAACCATGATCAGTAAGTTGTCCGACTGAAACGAGGTTAGGCACTAGTTTAGGGACATGTAACGTATTAGACAATGCTATCAAAATCGAGCCGAGCCGGTCGGTCGGACCGGTAAAACCGGGATCCGACCACAAGTTCGGCTCGGAACAGCTATAAATCCGCTGCGGTTAAAAAGGCCGGCCAGTTAACGGGTTGATCAGGTAACCGCTCGGGCCGTTTAAACCGGCCGACCGGTTTGTAACATCAGCCGCCCAATTTCAAAATATTAGAAAAATCAACCCCTAATTTATGCTTCCTTTTTACATATAAATGGCAACAACCTACCAAAGAAGTTGCTATTTCCATATATAATTTCCGAGGAGTTAGTTTCTCGGCTGATTTCAATGGGTTAATTAATCTAAAGCTTCCTTTTCACTTTTATTTTCCAAGCACCTTCTCAGTTAATCCTACCCAACTTTGACGCTTTTATTCTCATTTAATTTCTAATGACTAATGAGCAATAGTTAACCCTAATTTGATGCTTCCATTGTTCCTGCAACCAATTTGGTACTTTCATTCCCATTCCTTTCCGAATGAGCAATAATTAACACTAATTTGACGCTTCCTTTATTCATTTCCCCCTTTTCTAATTTAAGAAATTTCCTTTTTATTTTGGAGATTTATAATATTTATAGTTTTGATTTAGTAAATAATGTGTTTACAAGTAATTATTTTATTTTAGTTCATGGTTTGGTGTATTATTATGTTTGTTCTCTTACAATATTCTTGTTTACAAGACATCGGTTTAGTAACGGTTTTTTAACGGCTTAATACCGGTTAAACCAGTAAAGTGCGAGCCGTTCGTTATATCGGTTTATACTCCGGTTCGGTTTTAACAACATTGGTATTAGGTAACTGAATCTTAGGTTGGTTTACACATCCCATGCCTTGAACTTTCAAATGATCACCATTAGCAACTCTTAAATTCATATGACTCACAGGTTTGAGGCTCGTAAGTGCAGCTGAATCTTGCGTCATATGATTAAAGCAAGCCGAATCCAATAGCCAAGGTGATGATTTCTTACCTGTGACCTGCATTGCCGCGAAGGCGGAATTGATGGCGATGGGCAGCGATTTTTGTAGGGCAGCATTGACCAGCTCTTCGATCTTGGCAGCTGAGATTCCCGCCGCAGTGTTCCCGTCGGCCAGCTGTGTGGAGTAGGTCGTCGAGCGATTAGAACGACGGTTGTTAGAGCGAGGCTGCTCCTGGTGGTTGTCCGATGATGATATCTCAGCATGTTTCCCGGGATGCTTTACAAATAGTCGACAATCGAGAATTATATGACCGCCCTTCTTACAGTACACGCACAGATTGCGTTTGCGGCAATATTTTTGAAGATGCCCCTTCTCTTTGCAATGATGGCAGTGTAATTCAGCTATAGGAATCCGACGTTAGAATTGCGGTCGGCCAACGGCAAACGCCGCATCTTCTCCCGCAACAGCAACAAGCGTCGATTCACTGTCGCCGGGACGGAGGTCCAGCTTAGCTTGGGTTCGCAGGCGAGTTTCTTCTCTTATTAAATCTCCAAATACTCCATCCATGGACAGCTCCCCACGATGGATGATGGCTGATCTTATTGCCTCAAACTCCGGCCTTAGTCGCATGAGGAAGTGAAGAAGGCGGGCATGTTTTTGCTCAGCGATCAGAATAGCTGAAGTCGCGGCCGGGCGGAGTGACGCAGTGAGTAAGTCCTCCTCTGTCCAGAGCTCTTGAGAAGTTGTAAGGTACGCCGTTATGTCTCGATCACCCTGTTCCAATTTATCGAGGGCCACCTGCACTTCAAATTGGCGCGCGGCACTAGCAGTGGAGTAAGTGGCCGCCAATTGCCTCCACATCTCGTGGGCAGTCTGGTGCATACGAAGGCTCAAGCAAATATTCGGATCAACCGAGTTCAGGATCCACGATCTTACCCGAGCATCATTCATATTCCAGCGCGCAATCTGCTCGGCAGTGGCCGTAGAGTCTGGCTTCGGATCAGTTCCATCCAGGACCCCAGCGAGTCCCTTCCCTTCAACACGAACACGAAATTGAAATTCCCACAGCATGTAGTTCTTCGGGTTAAGCCGAATGGACATTCTCTCGGAATCGGATGCCGAAAGCTCTGATACCATGTTAGCAAAGCTAAATAAACCGAAAACTGAATACGATGAACACACAGATTTAACGTGGTATCCCTGGAATGCAAGGACTAATCCACGGGAGAGGTTAACTCTCCAAGACGAAAATCGTACTATACTTGCTTAGGGTTCTCGGTAGAGTACAAGAGAATATATATAGTTTTGGTTTGTAACCCTAGCTTCCCTACGTCTGCATGAATAGGGTTGCATGGGCTTGGGCCAACATTCCCTCAAGTCTCCGTGACCCAATTACACGACCCAATGTACACTAACAGAAACTAGCTCAATCTTCCTTACTGTTCACTAAGGAAAATATTATTATATTATGGTCATTGCACTAATTCAATTTCTATGGTTCATCAGTTTGTCTTTTTTTGTTGAATTTGATAAGTTTCTCTCATTGTTTGGTTGATAAGTTTTGGGTTAATAGCATTTTATACTCTTTACTATTACAAGTTAACAAATGTACCCTTATACTATATTTTAGTACAAACATACCCTTCTATTAAAGAAAAACGTAACAAATATACGTTGCTGTCAGAAAAAAAAAAAATATACGTTGCTGTGAAATTTTCTGTTATCAAGCCATTAAATGGGACGGGAATGCCGCAATTGCCGAAATTAACCCTGGCGGCGTTGAAGTTTTTTGTGTACAACTGGAATGAATCGTCGCCGACATTCGATTGGTCCCTGTAAGAAGCGAATCCATCGACGTCCCTGTTCCCTCCGACTCCCCGTAGTTGGTGAAACCCCACCCGATGACGCTAGCATTCTCCCCGTACCGGCGAACTCATTCGGAACCCCATTCCCGTTCTTGCCGTAGATCGTAGATGGTAACCGCCCGACAAGGGAGTCGTCGGGATCACCCTTGTCATCCCAACCAACGCGGCGGAAGCGCAACCGGGCGCCGCCGTCGTAGAAAATGATGAAAAAGGTATGTGGTTGGGTCGGGTGTCTACTCACTACTGTCTAGGAAGGGGAAAGAAATCTATGAGATGAGGGGATTTCGTTGATTGCCACAAAAGGAAAACGAAAATGAAATCTCGGAAATATCTAAAAAATAATTAATACAGTTTTTTTATTATTGCTAAAAATATTGACAAAGAGGGAAGGGAAAATTAGTCATTCTCAATCCATTTAACGGTCAGTAAACAAAAACTTTGACAGAAGGATAGAATTGTTACATTTCATTTATATAAGGGCATGTTTGTAAAAAAATATTTAGTACAAGGGTACATTTGTTAATTTGTAATAGTATAGGGTCATAATATGCTATTAACTCATAAAATTTTGTTATTGTATCTCTTATATAATATTAATATTCAAATGTTCAATTTAGAATTCCAAAAGTAGAGTTAGGCGAAGAGAAAAATAAGAAAAGTGGTGCAATTTAAAAACCAAAGAGAAAAATGATGTCGTGTGACTTCCAACATAGAGCTGTCAAAATGTAACCCGACCGATCAATCTGACCCGCAACCCGATTTGACTAAAAGTCAACGACTCGTAACCCGACTAACGTGAAACCCGATCAACCCACAACCCAATCAACCCAACTAACTCAACTCGCAACCTGCCTGAACCGCTTGCTTACCCACAATATATATATAAATGCACATATATGCTCTTTCAAAACGAGAAGGACTTCGATGGAGATCAACTAAATGCACATAAAGCAGCAAGTTGCAATTCAAGTTGCACAATCTCATTTGGCAATTCACAATCAGCAGCAAGTAATACACGAATATTGACATTCGCCATAAAGGAATAAAGAGTCAATCACCTGTCTTTTTGGATGAATCCATGCTTTCTCTCCTCTCTTTCTTTGGTCTCCATTCCCAAATTCCACCCAACTCTGTGTTTTCGCCTCTGCCCATTTTTGTCCACAAACAGAGCTTCCATACCTCCAACATAAGTCAGACATTTTGTACAAAAAGCACTCATCATCAATCCTAATTAAGATTCCCAAAAACCATATAAATGTAGATAAAGATTCCCAAAAACCATCACACGGAGCTAGTCCCATCTAAACCCTAATTAAGTTATTGAGGTTCATAGAGAATTACCTTGTTATTGCTTTCAATCCTTGTCAGTTGCTGGGTTTCACGTCGTCGGCGCAAAGGACAACGACCTCTTCCCCTCCCAGCCACTTACTTGCTGCTTTGATTGCCGTAGCCCGCAGAGCCGCTTCCTCCCGCCGAAGCGTCAATACCTCTTTATTCTCCGCTTACAAAATCGGGAAAGAGGGATTGGGGGAAAGGGACTATCGGGTTCGAAAAAATGAAAGAACAGAAAGGTGAGAGGGGAAACCAGATCGAGAGAGGAAAGGGTGCAATTTTTTTTTTTTGTTCTTCCGTCTATTGATTTCCAGAGGAAAGTTAGATGGAGGGAGGGAGGAAGGAGTTAGGTGGGAAAGGTGAGGTACTGAGGTTTGAGCAGCTCATATGAAATTAAAGAAGTTTGGAGGGCAATATTGGATTTTTTTTTTGTAAAAGGAGGCAAAAAATTTAGAAGTTTGGCGGGAATGCCAAGATTAGAAAATTATAATTTTCAGTTATGTTGTGTCGGTTTATACATAAGTCATAACCGATACAATATTATAAAAAAGTTGGGTTAGTCATATAATCGACACGAAATATTAACATAAAATTACAATTTCGTGTCGGTTAAACAAACTAACACAAAATACATTATTTCTTATATTGCATCTCTTAAATATCAACAAAACATGTCCAAAAACAAAATGACTTTGAACATCCTCATCACTCCAAAAGCTTTACTTCTTCTCCACCATCCTTTACAATTAATCATTAAAAAAAATGACAAGAAAAAGATTATAACTTATGTTCTTTAAAAAAAGATAGTAGCTTGTGTACCAAATATATAAAAGTTTGTTTTATCTTACCTATTTGGCATCCTCGTATCGAGTTACACTTTAAATCGACTATTTGAGCAAAATCATAACTCATAAGATTATCAACATATGTTCATGCATCAAACTATTAGAAACAAAGTTTCTAACAGGTTTCTAGATAATATCTAGAGATTGAGAATTTAGGGTTTATAGAATAGAATTGGGGATTTATGGATTCGATGAGAATTTGGGGAAGAATAGACGAGAATCGGCCTAGGCCTTTGGAGGGATTGAGATAGAGAATTGAGAGGATAATGAGATTAGGGTTTAGGAGATTCTTTGATAATTCTTTCTTGATTGATCGTAACGTTGACTCAAAGTACATATTTTTAGGGAACACTAAGAAACCCTACTAATAAATCTAATTCTACTAAAAGACTACTAACCTTATTGATAATTATCCTAATAATAATTATAATAATAAATAGAGAAATCCTGCAGAAATTGATTTCTAACATCTCCTCCCCCTTCAGACCAACCTTGCCCTCAAGGTTGACCAACTTGACTCACTCTTTCCCCCTTCCCATGCCATCCACACATTGAATCCTCCATTTCTTGCGCTTCCTTCCCTTCCAATCGTGCTCCACCACTCGACTTGGCCTTCTTTCTTCTATCTCCTGGTACTGGTCCAAAATTGTGAATTTCATCGATGATAGCCACATCCTTGCGTCCTCAACGATTCAAACCTCCCAAACGCCTCTTTCGATATCAATTCCATCCAGCAACCCAAGGAACTCAAGGATTCGCTCTTGTTCATGAACACATCCTTGAGTACCATTTCATCAAGACCCTTAAACATTTTCCTTGGAACTAGCCCATATACTTGCTTTGTTGATTCTCCAATTGCTATTGGGCTATGCTCTCTTAAAAGCCCACCTCATTCCTCCTTCCCATCCCTGCCCTGAATAACAGGTCCAAAAACACAACTCACAAGCAGTGGCGGATTCAGAAAATTTTCACAGGGGTGTCCTCTTAAAAATTAAATTTAATTAAATAATAAATTAAATAATTCGTATATTAAAAATATCATACTTGTATAAATTTTTTATTAAAAGACATGATGTGTTTTCATATTTTGAAAAAATAATATAAATAAACTCCGTGTCTGCACTGTTAAAAAAAATCTACATATCCTACTAGACAATACTTCACGAACTTATCACATATTCGATTTCTAACCTTGTTCTTAATGTAGCTCGAAGTAGAAAAGACTCTTTCAACACTTGCCATGTAACCATAAAATCAATTCAAAATTAAGGGTAGCGTGTACGTAGTTTAATTATTAGGTATTGAAAATAGTTGGGGATAAAGAAATAGCGTTTTACTGTTGCATGATGTTTAAAATAGAATAACAAATGAGTAGCAACATAATTAGAATATGTTTGATAATAGTAGTGTCCTAGGTTGGAATAACACGGACTACCACTTATATTTTGTTAATCATAAGCAAACTATTATCGAGGGTAGGATAATCATTTTTTCAAATGTTAGGGTGTCCCGGATTACCAATTATATTTTGTATACCCATACGAAACTATTATCGGAGGTTGGATAATCGTTTCCCCAAATTTTAGGGGGTGTCCCGGGACACCCCTAGAGGCCCATGTATCCGCCCCTGCTCACAAGTGGCCCAATTATTTTCAGAAGATGCTGCCCATGCTGGGAATTGAAACCCATTGCTTCTTCTTTGCTTGGCCCATAGCCACGCACTTCAGACCTTGGCCCGCTCTGCTAGTCTGTCTGGCCCAGGACAAGCCCGCCGAAACCCTTGTTGCAACCTTGCCTGCTCTTCCCCGACTCCTGCTTTCCTAGCTGGTTTGGGCTCCCCATCTCCACCTTCTTCAGCTCAGGAATCGAGCCACCAAGGCTTGCGACCCAATCGACGAGACCAACCGGTGCGGTCTCCCTCCGTTGCGGCGCGACGTGGTCCTCTACTCGCAAATTAGGGCTTGTGGAGAGACTAACGTCGCCGCCCTCTTTCCTCTCCTCGCCCATCGACCCCATCTCCGACATCATTCCTGGCGGCAAGCAACTAAGCCGGCGGGGAGGAGTCGAACCGGCTTCCGGCCTTCTATGTAGAAGTTTGGCGGGAATGCCAAGATTTGAAAATTAGAATTTTCATCCATGTTGTGTCGGTTCATACATAAGTCATAATCGATACAATATTATTAAAAAGTTGGGTTATTCATATAACCGACACGAAATATTGACATAAAATTACAATTTCGTGTCGGTTAAGTAAACTAACACAAAACACATTTTTTCTTGTAGTGCATCTCTTAAATATCAACAAAATATGTTCAAAAACAAAATGACATTTAACATCCCGATCACTACAAAAGCTTTACTTCTTCTTCATCATTCTTTACAATTAATCATTAAAAAAATGATCAGAAAAACATAGTAACTTATGTTCTTTAGAAAAAAGATAGTAGCTTATGGAGCAAAAATATAAAAGTTTTTATCTTACCTGTTTGGCATCCTCGTATCGAGTTACACTTTAAATCGACTATTTGAGCAAAATCATAACTCATAAGAATCAAGTTTTTTATCAACATATGTTCATGCATGAAACCCACACATTGTTGGTAAGCAAAATCATATGGTTTAAAGTTTAGCATTTATGATTTAGGGTATTGATTAGGATTACTATTCAAGTGACACCAACATACACTGAGTTAATTATGGCTTGAAGGTTCAACATTAAGGTTTCGGGTATAGAGCCAGGGTTATGATTTACGGTATAAGGTATTGATTAGTGCTATTTTACAAGTCACAAACAACATATACTAACTTAATTATGAGTTTAAGGTTACAATATTCGTATTTTATGATATACGGTGGGAGTACATGGTTTATTGTTTAGGGTATAGGTTAATACGAGAAGTATAATGTAGCAAAAATGAATGAGACTTTTGCCACAAAATGACATTTATGTAGCAAAATCATTAAAATATTTAGGAATATTAAAATTACGATATATCTTAATATATTCTATTGTCATGAATTATTAATTTGTAGTTAAATGTTTAGATATGATGATTATGGAGTCTAACATTTATTGACTAAAATATTGTCTATAGCAAACCTTATTATAGTTTTATAGGACATGACTAATTTGATATAGTAGATTTGAGAACATATAATGAGTTATCCTATCTCAAATGCATATTATTTTACATTTAGATGAGAAACTTAATCTCACTTGCTAATTCTCCTACCACATTTTCATTTAGGTGGGAAACTTCCCCCTCCCTCTTTTTGATACTTTCATTCCAATTTTCACTTCCCCAATGTTTCCCTTCCCCAATGTTTCCCTTCCCACTTTTTGTTCTTCTCATTTTGCTTTTCCTCCACAATTTGTCCCTACCAAAAAGAAAATCTAAGAAGGAAAAATTACCTCAATTCGACGCACAAACATTTCAATTTTTTTATTATTAAACCTGATTCCCATATCCCATAAGCTATTGTTTATAACATTAGTGCCTTGTCAAGATTTTTCATATGGAAATAAATTAGGATTATTGATTAACAAGTTGCAAAATTTTGCCATGAACCTTAATTCATGTATTTTTTTGGTTAAACAAAAAATTTAGAACTTTGCTACGGTGACATGCCTGTCACCGTGACATGGACTTTTCGGTCGACCTAATCCTAAAGGAGGTTGACCGAATGTGCTGTTTCAGTTATGTGAGGTTCAGAGACGCGGTCGACCGTCTATATAAAATGGTCGACCTCTTTGGGGGTCGAACAGAATGAAAGGTCAACCCAAATACCTCATAGGCCGACCCTTTTGCACCTAATAGGTCGACCGCATTCGTACGAGGTCGACCGCATGCACACCGTATCCGTATTGGATAAGGATTCCAACACCAGAAAGGTTCCACAATTGGATAAGAAAACGAATTGGGTCGACCCATTCACGTTCTAAAGCTCTATAAATACGAATATAAGTCCCCTTCAACGCCACCAAACTCTGAATTAGGTGTTTTGCCCCGATTTAGAGCCTTTGTGAAGAAGATCGTTCGCGGTTGCCGTTGTACGTGTTGAAAGTGGTCGACCACGTCGAAGGTGAGGTCGACCTAATGTAGCATTCGCCATCATCTTCTCTAATGCGTGATTTCCACCGTCTAATTTGATATATTGTTGCGTGCAGAATACCATTCGGTCGACCTTTATCTCTATTAGGTTGACCTAACGAGACCATTGTTTGGAATTGAATTTAGGGCACAACACCTGGGAAATGCATGCTGAAAGT